TGGGGGCTGACTGGGGGGGTCCCTGTGGGGTCTGGGGGGTCCCTATGGGGGTTTCTATGGGGTCTGGGGGGTCCATTTATGGCTTATATGAGACAAGTGGGCGTGGCCACACGAGGCCACGCCCCTCGGTGGGCGGGACGCCCGCTGACCACGCCCACTTCCGACAGTTACCTCCTGGGTGGCTCCGCCTCTTCTGGCAGCGACGGGGAGGAGGAGCCAACTGAAGCTCCGCCCACCTCCCACCAACGCCCCGCCCATGTGGGCGGTGCTACCACGGCTAAGCCCCGCCCCCCGACACCGCCCTCGTCCAATGGCAACACTCCTGAAGGTGGGAGGGGCTTTGCGTTGGTCCCGCCCCTTCCCTGGCTTAGCTCCGCCCCCTCCCGGGTCATCCCAGTTCCCTCCCAGTCTTCCCAGTTCCCTCCCAGTCCATCCCAGTATCCCTATTCCCATCCCCATTCCCTCCCAGTTCCCTCCCAGTTCTCTCCCAGTCCTTCCCAGTATCCCTGTTCCCATCCCAGTTCCTTCTCAGTCCATCCCAGTTCCCTCCCAGTCCTCCCAGTTCTCTCCCAGTCCTTCCCAGTATCCCCGTTCCCATCCCAGTTCCCTCCCAGTCTTCCCAGTTCCCTCCCAGTCCTTCCCAGTATCCCTGTTCCCATCCCAGTTCCCTCCAAGTTCCCTCCCAGTCCTTCCCATTATCCCCATTCCCTCCCAGTCCATCCCAGTTCCCTCCCAGTCCATCCCAGTTCCCTCCCAGTTCCCTCCCAGTCCATCCCAGTTCCCTCCCAGTTCCCTCCCAGTCCTTCCCAGTATCCCCATTTCCTCCCAGTTCCGTCCCAGTACCCTCCCAGTTCCCTCCCAGTTCCCTCCCAGTCCTTCCCAGTATCCCCGTTCCCATCCCAGTTCCCTCCCAGTCCATCCCAGTTCCCCCCCAGGTGACGCTGAGGACAGCGCTGGGGACACAGAGGACGAATTGCGGCGGTGAGACCCCATTGGTGACCCCGCGGTGACCCCTGTGACCCTGGGTGACCCCTGTGACCCTGAGTGACCCCTGGCTGGTCCCTTGACCCCATGCTGACCCCACGGTGACCCTGTGGTGACCCCTGTGGCCCCGAGTGACCCCTGGCTGACCCCGTGGTGACCCCATGACCCCATGCTGACCCCATGGTGACCTCTCTGACCCTGAGTGACCCCTGGGTGATCTCGTGACTCTTATGACCCCTGGCTGACCCCGTGGTGACCCCGTGACCCCGCGGTGACCCCGTGACCCCCATCTGACCTCATGGTGACCCCATGCTGACCCCCCAAGTACCCACTGTGATGACCTTGTGGTGACCCCATCACCTTGTGGCGACCCCGTGGTGACCCCTGTGACCCTGGGTGACCCCTGAGTGACCCCGTGGTGACCCTGGGTGACCTCTGTGACCCTGAGTGACCCCTGGGTGATCTCATGATTCTGTGACCCCGTTCTGACCCCTTGGTGACCCCTGTGACCCCTGGGTGGTCCCATGACCCCGTGCTGACCCCGCGGTGACCCCGTGACCCCGTGGTGACCCCGTGACCCCGCAGGGTGACCTCGCTGCCCCCCGATGACCCCTATGGCGGCTCCACAGAGGAGAACACCGACAGCGACGACGACCCCATCCCCCCACTGCCCGGTGCGACCCCCTGACCTTTGACCTCTGGGTCACCC